TGATCCTGTCTTTGTTCTCAGTGTTTTCCCTCTGGCTGTGCAGTTATATTCAGTTTGGTTTCTGTCCGTGGATCCCTTATGTTCCTATTGCTGTGTGTGTCTTTCTCAGCATTACTGTTGGTTACCCTGCAGCCCTTTCCAACTTGCGAGTCTCTCTCTCTCTGCACCACTGCTCAGCATCTCTCACTCTCCTGTGCTTTATGCTTGTTCCTTTCGTCCTCTCCTTTGCCATCCCTTCCTAGCTTTCTGCAGTAAGTTACCTTTGTTCTTACTAGCCTGTGTGTACCACCTGTCCTTCCTGCTATTTGGTTGCACTGTGGCTGCACCGGTGTGTTAGAAAGCCGCAACCTGGGGGCTGCCACTCAGCACAACATCCACACCTCCAGTGGCTCTGGTGAACACTGGGTGGCTTCTTAGATCCTGCAACTCTGACATACCACTGTTTGCATGTGGTCACACTGCCCCTGCATCTGCAAGGACCGGTACCCTGGTACACGTTTAGTTGTTTTCACTGGCTTACTAGATCGAGTTTCAAGTCCCAGGTGGTCTTGGCCTCTGATCATGACAAATAGTAAAATCATTCCCTTTCCCCTATGACTTCTACCCATATCTTTTATACTACTCTGACTTGTTCCAATTGATTACGGTGCAATTGAGAAATGATCATATGACTGTTGCCACTCAACAGCCTTTACAGACATCCCTGGTTGATGCACCTCGGTGAAGACTCCAGAGGCTTGGTTGAATTTCTGTTCCAGTCTGTTCCTATTAATCCTTCCATATAAGGCTAGAATCAAGGGTGTCTGGTGCAAGGTCACGCATGCTCATCTGATACATGTGTATATGTTTCATGTGCTTATTCCAGGACTGTTTCAAAGAATTAATGTTTTACAATAACATCTGAGCACCATCTAAAGCTGCCTATAAATCATTAGATAATAGCTAGCTGTGCATGCATGACCTAGTTTCTGCAAGAGAGTTTTTAAAAATGAAAACTATGCAAATATGCAAGTGCAGCAGGCTAGGAAGGAGGGGGAACTCCAGCTGTCTCGCAAGAAAGCATTAGTGATCTTTCAGAAAGAGAGAGAGCCACATCAGTTGTTCCTCTACAGAATATTAGTAAGACCTTATATTGAATATGCCCATACATTTGGGTCCTGTTCAAAAGATGGATGTTGTGGAACTGTAAAGACAGAAGAGAAACAAAATGGAAGGACATAGAGGGCCTCAGATTACCTGAACAGAATGGTGACTTTTAATATAAGGACACTTACCTGTCAAGGGGTTCAGCGTCATCGTCACCCAGACTAGTTCTCCACTAGCTTCCGAGTTCCTGAAGCTGACAATGGAAGTAAGGGAAACCGAAACTGAAGCATTTTGGCTGTACAGCCTGTTCCTATTGCACATGCACGAGTCGCGCTGCATCTGGTGATTGGTCCTGTAGTCTTCTGGGAAGGGGAGGTTGAAACAAGCTGAGCTTCCTCCTTTGAGTGGAGATCTGCTTTAAGTTGGCATCAAACCGATAAAATGTGCAAAAGACCTCAACCTCAAAACAGCAGTTGCCAAATAACCATAAGAGCCATGGAGGAGCTCAGCTATGAGGGAAGATTAGAGGAATTGAATTTATTTTCTCTTGAATCAACCTCCCTAGTGGTCTGATTATGTCCATGTTTCTGTGCTCAAAGCAGTACATTTTTTTGCATGGAAATATGTCTTTTTTTTTTATTGTAGGCCTGTAATTTTTAAGAATAACTCACTGAAATCTGTCCGAACAAGAGTGTAGTAAACATCCCGGGTATGTTAAAATTTGAAACACGAAATCATAAATTATAATTTAATAACTAATCATAAAATAATTAATAAAAAATGTAATCAAACCAAAAACACTGAAATTTGAAATAGAGCGCCAGTTCGCACATCACTGAGCAAAGTCGCAAAATCGTTTTCAGTGTCTGATGATGAATTTCCCCACAAATCATTATCACTCAATTCTGCAAGTGGTTCTGATTTACTATCGCTGTTCTCTAGCTGGTCTAAAACCGATTTTGACCTAAAGGGACGCTTTTTGGACGCCATGGACATTTCTCAGTTTCCAGGCAGAAAGAACAGTAAAAATGCAGGCAGGGCACAGGACAAAGCACTAGGGACAAAATGTATGTGAAATGGTTTGATACAATAATGTTTTACTATGTGATTTTAGTGAATTTAATGAATGTCACTTTTAAAATTTCCTGGGAACGGAACTCAGAAGACGGATGCTGGCATCGGCCGGAGGACATTGTCGGGGACACTGCAGGAGGGACATTGCGGGAGCGCAGAACAAGGTAAGTGCAGAAAAGATCCCGGAGCAACGCTGTAAGGTATTCCCGAGTGTAGCTCAGGGTTACCGCTTGTGGTGCTGAAACTTTACCCCGAGCTACACTCGGGAATACCTCCAAGGGGGTTAAGGGGTGATATGATCAACATGTATAAATACATCAGTGGTTCATATAGTGAACTCGGTGTAGAGCTATTCACCTTGTGGTCATCACAGAGGACAAGGGGGCACTCTTTACGTCTGGAGGAAAAGAAATCTAATCTCCAAACATGGAAAGGTTTCTTCACAGTAAGAGCTGTGAAAATGTGGAATAGACTCCCTCAAGAGTTGGTTCTGGCCAACTCAGTGGATTGCTTTAAAAAAGGCCTGGATTGTTTCTTAGATACACAGAATATAACTGGATACTAACATTTATAGGTAAAGTTGATCCAGGGAATATCCGATTGCCTCTCGGAGGATCAGGAAGGATTTTTTTCCCCCTGCAGGAGCAAATTGGATCATGCTTTGCTGGGTTTTTTTTTTGCTTACTCTGATCAACTGTGGGTGTACAAATATAACTTTTTTTTTTGTAGCCTCCCTAGTGGTCTGTTTATGTCCATATTTCTGTGCTCAAAGCGGGTACATTTTTTTGTATGGAAATATGTCATTTTTTTATTGTAGGCCTGTCATTTTTAGGAATAACTCACTGAAATCTGTCCGAACAAGAGTCTAGTAAACATATGATAAAATCTGAAACACAAAATCATAAATTAATAAATAATCATAAAAAATAATTATAATAATAAATTTAATTCAATAATATAATCAAACCAAAAAAACACTGAAATTTGAAATATAGCGCCAAGTTTGCACATCACTGAGCAAAGTCGCAAAATCGTTTTCAGTGCCTGATGACAAATTTCCCCACGAATCATTATCACTCAATTCTGCAAGTGGTTCTAATTTACTATCGCTGTTCTCTAGCTGGTCTAAAACCGCTTTTGACCTAAAGTGACGCTTTTTGGACACCATGGACATTTCTCAGTTTTCCAGGCAGAAAGAACAGTAAAAATGCAGGCAGGGCACAGGACAAGGCACCAGGGACAAAATGTATGTGAAATGCTTTGATACAGTAATGTTTTACTCAGGGGCGGACTAACCATTCGAGCACTGCCCGAGGGCCCGGGGTCAGTAGGGGGCCCCATAAAATGCCCCTGGTACCTTTTATAGGCCTTTTTGGGTGTGTTTTGAGTGTGGGCAAGGACACGGGCCCCATGATCCCCAATTGCCCGGGGGCCACATGAGTTGTCAGTTTGCTCCTGGTTTTACTATGTGATTTTAGTGAATGTCACTTTTTCACATTTTTAAATTTCCCGCCGTTCCGTCCCTGTACGTCCTGACGTCGCAGGGAACGGAACCCAGAAGACAGATGCCGGCATCCGCAGGAGGACATTGCAGGGGACACTGCAGGAGGCACATCGCGGGAACGCAGGACAAGGTAAGTGATTGAAGGATCCCGGAGCAACGCTGCAAGGTATTCCAGAGTGTAGCTCGGGATTACCGCTTGTGTTGCTGAAACTTTACCCCAAGCTACACTCAGGAATACCATCAGGGAGGTTAATGGTTGAATTGGTTAGACTTTTGTCTTTTTTCCGCCAGACTATGTAGGTAACTATGTAAAATTGTGACTGGGGTGGTAGTGGTAAGGAACACTGTTGCTGGCTTACACTGGTCTGGTGATACTGGCACTAGTGTGCTAGTGATCAAGGACCCCGCAGCTGTCTGCACTGGTCTGGGGACACGTGGCAGAAATCAGGAACACTGGAGCTGGCTGTACTGGTGTGGCGGCTATTAAGGACACTGTGGCTGGCTGCACTGGTTTGGTGATACTGTGACTAATGTGGCCAGCTATCAGAAACACTGTTGCTGGCTGTACTGGTGTGGCAGCTATCAAGGAGATTGGGACTGGTGTGGCCGAAGATCCGGAACACTGTTGCTGGCTGCACTGGTAGCAATCAGGAACACTGTTGCTGGCTTACACTTACACTGATCTGGAGACACTGGGACTGGTGTGGAGGGGAACAAGAACACTGCAGCCTGCTGCACTTATCTGGTGCCACAGTACTGCTGTGGTGGGATCAGGGCTGCACGGGTCTGGTGACACTGTTACCTCTCTTAGCAAATTGGTGAGAGGAAATAGAAAGCTGGCTTCAAAATGTGATGTGATCACTTTGATTAGTAACAGCAATCATATGGTATAGGACCAATGTCATTAAAGGTGAACGAAACCTTTAACATCAAGACACACTAGAATATTTGAATGCACATTGCTAAAACCCTTGCTTGGCTTCTATAAAACTTTCCAAAACTTTTCAGGCAAGTAAATATAAGAACTTTACTTCTTACCATTAAAATTTCTTGGTAATGTTAAGATGTAAGTAAATCCTCTAGTGACAATAAAAGATCTTTTGTGAGTAAATGCTTAATCTCTACAGACATTCCAATTTCCAAAGCTGAAGTACAAAGATGGTAATAGAAACTGCCTTAAAAACATTAGAAAGAATGAATCCACAAGAGAGAAGAAAATCCATGCAGCGCATAAAATAAGATAATTACCATCACAAAGTAGGTTACAATCTCTAACTAATCTCACCATCCATCATCATCTACTTTATCTTAGTTTGCAAAACCCTTGTCCTGAACAATGACGTTGTCCGGTGCAGGTGACTGTGGCAGAAACAATATCCATTTCATCTTCTGTGGGAGAAATGTAACATTGGAATCTGAGTTTGTTTTATTGGGTTTTTCTTTTCATGCCAGATTTTGCCATCCCCTTTTTCTTCTTCTTCTTAATCCTAGTATTATACGTTTTCTCTATGGCAACCTTCTCATCCAGATTCTAGTCTTCTCAGATCAGCAACTACAAAGCCCCATGTTTTTATTTCTAAGTAATTTGTTCATTTTGGATATTTGTTTTATCAACACCACAGTCCCTAAAATGCTTCAAGGTTTCCTGCCTGGTGGAAAGTCCATCTCACTGTTGGCTTGCTTTGTGCAGTCTTATACTTTCTTCTTTGTAGGGGTATCAACCTTCTTTCTCTTGGCCATTATGTCATTTGACCGTTATGTTGCCATTTGCCACCCTTTACATTACCCAGCCATCATGCCCCAAAACCTGTGCATTAAGCTCATTGCAAGTGTATTTATTTTGGCTTTTTTTGTTGTACTTACTCCATCCATCAGGATACTGAAACTTCCCTTTTGTTCCAATCTTGTGAACCATTTCTTCTGTGATGTCAGCCTATTGTTAATGAATTCTTGCATCAACACAAGCTCAATTCAGCTGCAGGAAATTGTTGCTTCTTCCATTACACTTATTAGTTATCTGCTAGTCACTCTCATCGCCTATGTATATATAGTGAAGACGATTTTAAATATTCCATCTATAGAGGGAAGGAAAAAAAAAGGTTCTCCACATGCTCTTCCCATGCTCTGGTAGTATCTTTAGCCTAAGGCAGCTGTATTTTTACATATATAAAACCAACTCAGGGCCAGTTCATGGATTATGATAAAATGGTTGCAATTTTAACTATTGTAGTTGTACCATTGCTTAACCCTTATGTGTATACACTAAGGAACGAGAAAGTAAGAAAAATCATCAAACAGAACTTCATAAAAAACTACCACTTGCTCTGTTAAACTATATACACATAATTGTAAAATGTATATGTGACACATGATACACCCAACTGTCATGGTGTATGAGAATATGTATTATATGTAAACCTTCATGCTCATAATACAGCATGCTGTATATTGCAAGTACAAAAGAACACGGCATTCAACCATTTGCATCATAATATATGAATTGAATGGGAAGTCCTGCAATATAAAAAGGACAATAGATGGTCTCCTACAACAATCGCATGCAATAATTGTATCCACGGTGACTGGTTCAGTAGGTAAAAGCATTGTTTGTCCAGGAATCTTGGTATGTGCACCAACTGCCAAAAAAAGCAGAGCTTGGAAATTAGATCTCATAGACAAATCTAGCCATCCACGAAATGACCATGATTTTACACAGCATTTGCTCAAGTGGCATTAAGCTCAGTATTTGAACACTGAAAAGCCTATTTTCAGTGTGCTGACAAATCTCTACATTAAGCCACTGCTCTGGATCAGCCACAAGGGTCCGCATTTAGCAATGCTGCAATTACTGTATATTGCTAGAGGACATTATTTTAATTGCGTCAAAATAAAAGTTCCAATAACCATGATACCTCCCCATAACCACCAGATTCAAACTTTTATATCCCAAATGTAATTTTTTGAGGCACAAGTTAATTTGAATTAATGGTTATATGCGAATTGCTATAGGGTTTTTGTTTTTTTGTTTGTTTGTTTTTTTTTTTTTTAAGTACTGAAACTTTTAAAATAGGAGGCCACTGAGCATATAGCCAAAGTAGCAAAATGTGTCCAACGAAGAAGTGCCTGTCAACTATTGTGAGCAAGGAGTATGAAAATCGGACATCAGGCTTGGTTGGTTCTGCTCAGAGAAAATACAGGAGAGGTAAGTGTGCAAACACTAATTTTTACTAAATGCAGTTATAATCTTTTTGCAAACTAAATAAAATTATTATAATAGCATTATCTATCCATGTACAGGAAAGCTCCCTTTATCCTGCCTGAGCCAAATCTTCCTTCATTTGCACCTCCCTCACTCTCCCTCCAATACACTGCAGCTCACAGTAGGGGCTTTGCAAAAGAGGTAGGGCTGTCCAAAAAGGCAGAGCTAAGTGTGGCCCAGGTGTGGATTGACAAGCTACAGGCTTGTTAATCAGCAGTGACAAAGCTTGCAACTTTTTTCCAAGCCGGGGCAACCTATTTGAGGATGATCTGAATTCAGGACCAAGGCAGCATTGTTGCTACACCATGGAAAGCTGGAGGTGGACATCAGTGGCACAATCTGCAATTATTTGCAGGATTTAGAGAAAACCAAGTACCGATAACACATAATTAAATAGTTCTACTTTATTTTTATTTATTAGAGATACATTACGTATAAAGCACCTTCATTTTGTGCAGCCTTTACATATATATTGTACATTTACATCTATCCCTGCCCTCGAGGAGCATACAATCTAAGGTCCCTAACTCACATTCATACATACACATATTAGAGCCAATTAACCTACTAGCATATCTTTGGAGTATGGGAGGAAACCCACGAAGGCACAGGAAGAACATGCAAACTGCTGGAGTTTAGCAGATTTTAGACAAAGAAAACACAACGCAGTAGAACCTAGTAATTGTGGATCAGTATGATGTAGCATGTGCAAAATCTTTATCATGAACTACAGGCTCCTTTGTGGTACCTATGGGGCCAATGTGTAACTTTCATTAGATGAACCTAGTGGCAGGATTACACTAAATGCTCTTTCACACCAGCAAATAATTCTGAACGTGTGGCCACTGGGCGATTAAGTGGCAATGCGCAAATAACATATCGCACTGGATTTTTTTACTTTTTCATAGAACTTTATTGAAATGTCATGAGTGACTTTTTAATACAGTTCTATTCAACTCAGCAGTGCAGGGCCACCTTAACATCCTGGATCCCTGGGCAAAGTAATGGTCTGGGGACCCCACCAGGGAGGTGGTGACAGCAAACAGTGGGTGTGACTAAATTATTTGACATATTGGGTGTGGGTGATTAAACATTTTAGTCTGATTTCCTTGCATCTTTGGTGGATATCAGTAATCTAAACAGATCCCTGAAGTCTCATTTTTGAGACAGAAAGGGACTGAGGAAACACATTCCCCAATTCCTTTCTGCAGCCTCAGCTATGCTGCAAATGAATAAACAGGAGACAGAGGCTATTTCCCATACCCACTGCACTGGTCATCCACACAACACATGCAAATCCCCCTGCTGGAGGAAAGGGGGAGGGATGCAGAGACCCCCATGGACCTGGGACCCCTGGGCAGTGCCCAATAATGTCTGTGTGATATGGTGGTGTTCACATTGAAACCAGCTGAACTGACTTTCATTAGGCGGGCCTAGTGCCAGGTTTACACTAAAGGCTCTTTCACAATAGGAAGCCGTGGGGAGACTCCATGATAATGCACAAATCTCAGCACATCGAACTAACTCCATAGGAAACCAGGCAGGATAAATTCATATTTCGGCCAATGAAATTCATTAACGCACAAATGCTTGACACACCTGAGCACATCTAAACACCAGTGCCAAATGCAGCTTTAGGCATGTTGTTTTTCAGCAGCTTTTCTGCGAAGAGAAAAAGCTTTCAGGGGAGCTGAGCAAGCACTCAGCGTTTACGAGGCCTAATACTCAGATCATATGCTAATGTTTATGGGATGTAGATCTGCTGAACTTGCCATAAAAGATCTGTGTGTACTGTTTTAGGTATACGGATTCTACCACTTGTCAGCCTTCCCGGTTTTAGCAAATCACGGTATTTGCAATTTGTGTTGTTTCAATGTCAAGTCTTGCTTGTATGATATTAAATCTGAACAACACAAACACATGTAACTTTCCAATGCAAAAAAAGGCTGCCAAGTAATCTCAACAGGTTGATTCTATACTTCCTTGACAAACGTTTAGACAACTCCCTTAACACATTCCAGTAAGACTGAATTAAACCATATGAGATAGAAAATGGCTTTTGTCCAAATTAACTACTGGCAAGAAGCTCCTTAGTAATTAAATCTCTTACGTAAACATTCAATTCAAATACTTAATTCAGCTTGAATTCAACAATCAGCAGCAAATATGAAGGGCTAAATAATGATTTAAACCACAAAAGAGACTAGAAACTCATATACCTTAACCACTTCATGTCCGGACATTTTCACCCCCCTCCTGTCCAGGCCAATTTTCAGCTTTCAGTGCTATCACACTTTGAATGACAATTGCACGGTCATGCAACACTGTACACATCTGAATTTTTTAGCATTTTTTTGAGACAGATAAAGCTTTATTTTGGTGGTATTTATTCACCACTGGGATTTTTATTTTTTTGCTATGTAAATGAAAAAGTCCAAAACATTTTGAAAAAAAGTGTTTTTTCTTATACAATTTTGCAAATAAATAATATTTCATCATAAATCTTGGCCAAAATGTATTCCGTTATCTTTTTAGTAAAAAAACAAAAACCCAAATTAGTTTATAACCAAAAATTATAATTTTTAAACAGTTTTATTTTAATATATATATATTTTTTTCCTTACATACTGTCACCCTGCTAGCAGAAGATTTTTTTTTTTTTTTTACACTGATTGCTTTTACACCCATAAAGGCTGTACAATCAATCATTTCTCCTTCTCTCTGGCTGCATTCTTGCGGCCATTGAGAACTACTGTGTGAGCTGTGATTGGTAACAGCTTGTCACATGGTACAAGACTGTTGTGAATAGCCTTGTACCATGTGACCTCTGTGATCATTCACAGATTTCACACGTAGTAAGCAATGATGTCAGAAGTGACATCTTGCTTACTACTCTACACGTGATCACTGATTGGCCAATCAGTGATCACATGATCGGGACCTCGCAGAGAGGGAGGACACAGCGGGCACCGGATCGTGGTGATGCGCGCTCCCAGGAAGCGCGCACAAGCAGGGGGCAGGGAGGCCGTTTATAAACGGCCACCCGACCCTGCACTACCACCGTCCAGCCGTTTATATACAACGGCCGTACGGGAGATGGTTAAGAGCTGTAAGGAGACTATGTAAATTGCGATATTACAACACTTAGTAACAAGTGTTATGCCATTAGTCCACACAACCGGGTGGTAATTAATCCTTTACTTTACATTGTATCCCAGTACCAGAATTTATATTAGTCTACCTTTCTTCCTACATAATTTGTTTTAATTAAAAGGATAAATTTCACCTTTCATAACATGTTACATCTATATTCAGGGTGTTATGATCAGACCGGTCCCCACTCCCCACTTTGACAGCTAGCAGGGGGATCTTCTCCTTCCAAATTTTTGAAAAACGCAGCCGTGCAGGGCTCCGCCTGCCCAGCCTCATCACTCATTCACTGTCCTCTGTGAATGAGAGACTACAAGTCCCAACAGCCGTAGCAGCTATCAACATTTAGTCCTCAATGAACTACCACGGCGCTTCATTCATTCTTCCTGTCAGTTTATCTGCTTGCCGGTACACCCTGTACCAGCAAGCAGATATACTGACAGATCTGCATGGCACTAGCGATCTGCTGGTCATGCTTTACAGGCTCCTGCAGACAAAAATAATAAATGCACATTTTTTTCCCCTGCAAAAACAATGTGCATTTATTATTTTTTTTTTACTAAAAGGTGAACTTATCCTTTAACGTTTGTACCTCTACACCATTCATCTCCAAACTGTGGCCCTTTGTTTGGCTTTGTCTGGCTCTTGGGGCACTATTCCTCCTATTGACACCAATGATGAGGGAGAATTCCTCCAACTGACACCAACAAAGGGACATACAGTAATTCCACCTAATGACACCAAGGATGAGGCATTATTCCTTCCACTGGTACCAACACAAATACAAATGAGGGGGCACTGTTCCTACTGACCACCAAGCCTGAGGCACGGTTTACTCCCACTGGCCACGATACGGCCAAACTAAAGTCTGAAGGACAGTACACTGGCCCTTAGTTTAGAATGTTTGGGGACTCCAGCTCTACACTATCGCTGGTGACTGTCTGATAGCCATCTCCCATACAGTAATTTCTCTGCAGTCTTCTGGTGTATTCTGTGAATGCATTTTTTATTTAACCTAGTCAATTTTGCCAAGTTTTTTTTTTTCTGTTACAACATTTAAAAGATATTTTGGCATGATGTATGCCATACAGACTATTTAAAAAGATCCTAAACTCTAAATCCCAAGCGAGGGTGTAAAAGTAAGTTGAGTACACCTGTATTTGTTTGCATTTTTGCAATACAAAGTAATAAGAGTACCAAATGATCTCAAAGCAGCTCAAACTCCGAACACAAACACCCTTAGACTGAATGCACCTGAAAACATGCATTTGCCAGTCTACAAAAGACCTTAATGTGGCCATACACATGGCTATTTGTGATCAATTTAGGTGCAATTGCTCACAAAACAAGTGACTAAGCAGACTATAATACGACCAATGCTTATCAAGCATGAATGGGTGACAGCTCACTAAACTGATCGAATTAATAGTCTTTGCTTTGCAATTTTTGTATTCCGCTTCATCAGTTTAGTTGCACTGAATTATCAATGAATTGTCACATCGATTTGAGTTTGGCAACATTATATAAATATTAAAATAAACCCGTGCTTTGCTCATCTAGGGCAAAAAAAAAAAAAACAACAGGTTCACTTAAAAAGATTTCTTCTCTTTCTTCTTGAACATATTTACCTTTACCTTGACCCCCCCCCCCCATCACTCAAAAATTTTAGTTATTTATTTTCTGAACGGAGTATGGGAAGCATATTATTCTTACCCATTCCTCCTGCAATGCAACACCAAGTGCCTTGAAAGTCCATCGCCAGGCACAAAGTGCTATTACTGGACAGTTCTCTATCCTATGCAGGCTTGAATCAAATTGACTTTTTGACTTTGACCTTAACACTGGGCTTTTTGTCTTTGCTCCCACAGGTGAATAAAAGAGGCGGGGTTAAAAAAAAAAAAAAAAAAAAAAAAAAAATGGCCTGCCATCTAGGGATGGCCATAGATGCATTACTTTATTTCGATCTGCCAGTGGGCTGATTAAAAAAACAATGAATAAAACAATGAATTCCTCCATCCACAAAAGCAAGGTGGATGCAGGAATCCTTCCCGCTGTGCCACTGTAATTTGATGGAGGGGGGGGGGGGGGGGGGGGGGATTACCCCACTGTCAAAATACACTGATCTGAGAGAAATGTTTCCAACAGTCCTGTAAAAAACAGAATTTGATCATTAGACCGACTTCTGTTAAACAGGAATAGCTATAGATGGATGGACATTCAGCCGATTGCTGATGAACCACCCAAATTTCAAACATCTATGAGCAGCTTAAAGGGTAAGTTCACCCTTTGCCCAAAAATAATAAAATGTACATTAAACGGGATGTACAGGCAAGCAGATATACTGACAGGAAGAATCAATGAACTACCATGGCGCTCCACGTGGAAGGGCTTGGGGGGAAATCGGGTGGCAGCTGCAGCAAATGGGTGGAACATGTAACATGTTCCCAAAGGTGAACTTATCCTTTAAGTAAACTTGTTATTATACGGGTTTATTTTCCGATCAGTCATCAATTGGAGCCAGGCTTTGTTTGAGACCACTCCCATGATCGCAGGGCTGTTTGTTCCAGATTCAGACCTGCTCGAAAATGACAAGCCAAAAGGGCAAAGTATGGTTATAGGAGTTATGAGTACCCATAAACAAAGAGCTTTTCATAGAAAGCAATACCTTTTGCCTACTGAGTTACATTTATAGACTATAATCCATTTAGAAATATTGATCATTAAGTTTTTTTTTGTTTTTTTTTTTTTTTGGTACAATAAGGCTCTCTAATAGATAGGACCAATGAGAAAGAACCGGAGAAGAGTTAAAATAATAAAACACAGAATAAAGACATTAATATGGACAATAATGTAAAGTAAATTATTAGCAAATAAATGCAAAATTTATTGTTTTTTTTACAAAAAAGAAACATAATATTAATAATCTTCCTCTAAACGCGAGGGCAATGAAAGGCACTGGCAAAAATAAATAAACACAATCTGAATCTGCTTTATAAATACAACTACCAGCCAGTAAAACAACAAAGAGTTGATTGAAATGGCACATACTAGAAACAATAGGGAATGTAGAGAGGTCTTATAAAAAGGAGGGGTGCGAAATTCTCTTACTCTGAGGATAGGCTTTCAACAAGGCGTTAGAAAAAGTGAACTATTGTACCAAATTAAGTGCATTTTGTAAGTCTCCTCTATCCCTGTGAGTGTTTTTACTTCAGCACAGAACATAAGGGCCATTGGCAGCTCGGACCATCCTGCTCTTATGCCCCAGTCTTCACAGCTTACAGCAGGAAGTCTCACAGTCCTGAAATTACTCGCTTTGGGGTCTGTAAGCCACTGTTGCACTGGCCTGAGTGCTTGGTCCCTGGGGCTTGCCATTCACTAACAACTGAACTGGAGAGTCAACTCGTATACTTTGGAAAACAAAAGTCTGTCAAAGAAAAATACAATTAAAAATAACAGGAAAACATACAAGCAAGTTAAACAGCAACTTCAGCCAACATAAGAAAACAATTAGGAAATGCCTAATACCATCAGGTAAGCACTGAAGTTACAGTGGTTGTAAAGGCTCAAGGTTTTTGTGTTCAGTATCTCCCCCAGCCCCCCTAATACTCATCTAAGCCCCCTCTCGATCCAGCAATGTGCACTGGAGTCTCGGCTATTCCGGGCCTCCCTCCTTCTCACTGGCTGAGACAGAAGCAGAAGCCATTGGCTCCCACTGCTGTCAATCACAGCCAGTGACCCAATGAGAAGAGGGGGACAGGGCCGAGCCGCAGCCTTGTGTGTGAATGGACAAATGGAGCAGCAGGGGCCCCCATAGCAAGCTGCTTGCTGTGGGGGCACCTGAGCACACAGCAGGTAGGTATAGACATTTTTTTTTTTAAAGAAAAAAAACACCTTTTAGAATCACTTTAAAGTCATGAAGCTTGTTCAGTTTACCCTTCTGTGTTCTTCGTAATGAACAGCAAATACATTCCTGTTCAGGATCAGGGGGAAAGTATTTACTGTGCAAATCTCTTCTAAGTCACTTCCTCCCTCTTGGCTTAACATGACTAATCACATTCAAACGTCTAAGGCAAGTTTGAATCTGAATGGTGACTGTTACAAAATGTACAGTACTTTTTTCTTTTTCGAACATTAGGCTTTCTGTTTATAAAAAGTGCAAGGAGCCTGCAGTGGGTGTTCCAATATCACAAGGTATATGTCAAGCTCTCCAAACTACCAAAAGTGGACGGGCTGGACTACAGTAAATCCTGGACAAAAACTGATGGACAGTGCTGACAGGCTGTGCTCCCTGTACTGTTCCTATTGTTTTATTTTTCAATTTTGATTGTGCTTTACATGCAGACTTTAAAAAAAAACACAAAGATGATAATATATAGGGACATCAAGTATAACATACTAGGAATGCCAAATTACTTGCTAGGTATTGTAGCTAGTCACTTCTCTTTATGCAGCTGTTCACCCTTTATGATACAATTCAGCTATGGACTGCAATAATACTTTTCATTCAGTATGATACATCAAGAATACTTGCACATTATGGCAGACCTACCCTCTAATGTGCCCATTGCTACACTCAAGGCCATGGCCATCTTCCTCTAGTCTTGTTTACAGGGCCTGACACTGGACAGTCACTGATGAAGTACAGTAAGTCTTGCACATTTGAAAATTCAGTAACTGGTGGAATGTGTTCTTTCAAAAAACAGTGGACTGTCATTAAGGTGCTGCAAACCCAATACTCACTGCCAGCAAACTGTCAAACAGACTGTACTTTAGAGGTCACAAACCACTGGCTGAATTTTTTTCTATTTCTCACAGTCAAATATTTGATAGGAATCTGACATGGTCCAAGAAAAAAAAAAAAAAAAAAAATGGGATGCCAGTACTGCGTTTGGGTATCAACACTGTTGTCCTCCCCTAACTAGATTGCACCCAACAGTGAATTTTCATTGCTGTGGCATTACTCTTTAAAAGGTTAAGGGAAAATACATAGACAGTGGTGAAGGGATCGAATGCTGAAAAAATTAGAACATTTCTCTGCCAGCTATGAATTCATCCATACTTCCATTCTAGTGTTCCATGGCAAAGATACGACACAGCTTACATCACAGTATAGCTGGCTGTGTACTATACAGCACACTCGGAGTGAGCTCTTACCTGTCCTTTATGCTGTACATTGTGGTGTTTAAGGTGGGGCTCTGGGATGGTCACAGAATCTGCAATCAAGACTCCCCAGCTTTCCACCATGTTGTAAACCATTATAGAATAACATGTCCCCTCAGCATCCACAAGCCCAAACGTACTAAAGAGGGGGGGAAAAGCAATGTTATTTTAATAACTGGATTTGAAGTAGAATTGTAGTCATAACCAAGATAAAAATGAAAAACAACTTTTGCTGAAATATTCACCTGTGATCCAGTGATTCTCCCTGCAGGACTTTTTGTGCCACTAAGCGTCCAAAGTCTTATGGTTTGCATCATCCAACCCACTTCCCCTGAGCCCAGGATGTCTTGAACCTGCCTCACCCTATTACTGGACAGTGAAAGGAGAAGGGCAGGGAAGAGCTCATCTCCCAATCACTATGTTTCTCTTCCTATCAGCATGCTTTCAATCAGCACATGAACTAATGCCTTCTCCTCTGACATCTCTGGTATGTAGGGATTGCACGAGTCTGATACCAGGTTACATTCAGGTATTCACACTGAATGTAACAAAAACGTAACTCTTCGACCCAGCACTGATACCTGGTTCTTGGACTACAGTGCCCTTAAAAAATATTCCTACCCCTTGAAGTCTTCCACATTTTGTCATGTTACATCCAAAAACATAAATGTATTTTATTGGGATTTTATGTGATAGACCAACACAAAGTGGCACATAATTGTGAAGTGGAAGGAAAATGGTAAATGGTTTTCAAATTTTTTTACAAATACATATCTGAAAAGTGTGGGGTGCATTTGTATTCAGCCCCCAAGTCAATAGACCACTAGATAGAACCACTTTTCGCTGCAAAATAGCTCAAGCTCTGTCAGATTGGATGGAGAGCATCTGTGAACAGCAATTTTCAAGTCTTGCCACAGATTCTCAATTGGATTTAGGTCTGGACTTTGACTGGGCCATTCTAACACATGAATATGCTTTGATCTAAACCATTCCATTGTAGCTCTGGCTGTGTGTTTAGGATCGTTGTCCTGCTGAAAGGTGAACTTCCGCCCCAGTCTCAAGTCAGGTTTTCTTTTAAGATTGCCCTGTATTTGGCACCATCCATCTTCCCATCAACTCCGACCAGCTTTCCTGTCCCTGCTAAAGAAAAGCATCCCCACAACATGATGTTGCCACACCATGTTTCGCGGAGAGAATGGTGTGTTCAGGGTGATGTGCAGTGTTCGTTTTCTGCCACACATAGCGTTTTGCTTTTAGGCCAAAAAGTTCAATTATTGTCTCATCTGACCAGAGCACTTTCTACCACGTTTGCGGTGTCCCCCACATGGCTTTTTGAAAGCTGCAAACAGGATTTCTTATGGCTTTCTTTCAACAATGGCTTTCTTCTTGCCACTCTTCCATAAAAATCCAGATTTGTAGAGTGGACAACTAATAGTTGTCCTGTGGACAGATTCTCCCTCCTGAGCTGTGGATCTCTGCTGCTCCTCCATGGTTACTCCAGTTACCATGGGCCTCTTGGCTGCTTCTCTGATTAATGCTCTCCTTGCCCAGCCTGACAGTTTAGGTGGACGGTCATGTCTTGGTAGGTTTGCAGTTGTGCCATACTCTTTCAGATGATGGATTGAACAGTGCTCCATGAGATGTTCAAAGCTTGGGATATTTTTTTATAGCCTAAAACCCTGCTTTAAACTTCTCCACAACTTTATCCCTGACCTGTTGGGTGTGTTCCTTGGCCTTCATGATGCTGTTTGTTCACTAATGTTCTCTACAATCCTCTGGAGGGCTTCACAGAACAGCTGTATTTATACTGAGACTAAATACCACACAGGTGGACTCTACCCTACTTTACTAATTAGGTGACTTCTGAAGGCACATGGCTCCAATAGATTTTAGTTAGGGATAGAGTAAAGGGGGCAGAATACAAATGCAAACCACACTTTTCAGATTTTTTTTTTTTGTAAAAAATTTGAAAACCATTTATCATTTTCCTTCCAATTCACAATTATGTGCACTTTGTGTTGATCTATCACATAAAATCCCAATAAAATACATTTATGTTCTTGGTTGTAACATTACAAAATATGGAAAATTTCAAGGGGTATGAATACTTTTTCAAGGTACTGTATATGCAGCCGGCGGGCATTTTCTTTCACTTCCTGTTTTGGCTATGGGACAGGGAGTGAATATTTTTGTGCCATAATCTTTCCATTTTCAGATGATGGATTGAACAGTGCTCTGTGGGATGTTCAAAGTTTGGGATATTTATTTTATAACCTAACACTTCTTTAAACTTCTCCGCAACTTTATCCCTGACGTGTGTTCCTTGGCCTTCGTGATACTGTTTGTTCACTAATGTGCTCTAAGAAACCTCTGAGGGCTTCACAGAACAGCTGTATTTATACTGGGATTAAATTACACACAAGTGGACTCTATTTACTAATTAGGTGACTACTGAAGGCAATTGGTTCCACTAGATTTTAATTCGGGGTATCAGAGCAAAAGGGGGCTGAATACAAATGCACGCCACACTTTTCAGATATGTAATTGTAAAAACATTTGAAAACCATTTATCATTTTCCTTTCACGTCACAATTATGTGCCACTGTGTTGGTCTTTCACATAAAATTACAACAAGACAAAATGTGTATACTGAAACTGTATGCTGTCATTTTTGTATTGTCCTACTGGCCAAATGAGCAGCCATTTTGATTGTTAACTGCATTCTTGCATGAAAAAAAAAAAAAAAAAAAAAAAAACAATTTCTGTCTTTTACATTTACCCAGAGTTTAGCGTTAGTGGCAAATAATGTAAGTAGGATTTAAGCACTTGACCTCCGGAAGGTTTTTCCTCTTCATGACCAGGGCATTTTTTTGCTATTGAGCACTGTGCTACTTTAACTGGCAATCGCTCTGTTATGCAACACTGTACTCAAGTTAAACTTATACCATTTCTTTTCACACAAATAGAGCTTTCTTTTGGTGGTATTTGATCACCACTGGGTTATTATTTAAAAAGGAAAAAAAAAAAAAAAATAGGTTTTATACTTTGTCATAAAGCATATCCAATAGAAAAATATATATAAAATAACATTTCTACAGAATAGATTAGGTCAAAATGAATTCTGCTACATGCCTGGTAGAAAAAAAAATTCCAATGAGTGTATATTAATTAGTTTGTGTGAAAGTTATAGTGTCTACAAACTATTGTATATATATATATATATACTGGAATATAGACACTACACTGTAATGGGAATGATCAGCAACTTATAGTGGGACTGTGATAGGGTGGGAGGCAATCTGTCACTAACAGACAATGGCTGGGAGGGTCACTAGCTGGCACTGATATCGCTAGTGACACTAATACAGTAAATAAATGAGAATACTGTACAATGACAATGTACTAAAGATAACTGGCTGGGAAAGTGTTAAAATCTAGGGGCAATCAAGGAGATAACGGTGTGCCTAACAAGTGTAATGTGTGCAGATTTTACTTTCTGATCGGGCCAGTTTTTGCTCCATGCTTTTCAGGGAGAAGAAACAGCCACATCACTGTTCTCTGTACACAGAGTTCTGTGTTTTTGCAAACTCAGAACTCTGCGATTGGACACAGCTGATCAGCAGGTTTCAGTCAAAATTATTTGCTGAAGTCCAATCACAGCATGGGTTGGCAAGGGGTGCGTAAACCCAGAGAAGGCTGTCACGTACATATACGGGATTGTGCCACTACCTGCCGCCCACTCGCAGTATATTTACTGTGAGCAGTCGCCAAACATGGCTCAGTTTTTTCATTCAGGCAACTGGACTGATTTCCCTGTCCACACATTCAATGTGGATGTGGGAATCCTCCCCACTGTGTGATTGTATTCTGACAGTGGGACTCCCCCACCATCAGAAAACACTGATCAACACTCAGCTGCATGTGTTGATCAAGCAAAAAATATACATAAAAACCTATTTATGAAATGTTGATCGATAGATCGACTTCTCATGAATGGAAACGGCGATACATGGATGGAAATTCGGCTGGTAAACATGTAAGAAACAACATGCAGTGCTCACAAAAAGTGAAAGGCAACAAATAAGAAATAAGGATAATGCTGTGGAAAATAAAGCAGCAAGTATATGTGTAACAGCAACAGAACTTTACTTATTCATATTTATCACATATTTCATAAGTATTCAATCACTTTATAATAAATCAATTGCTTTTGTTACAATAACTTCAGTTCAACACAAAGCACAGAATTCAAAGGCAGCTAGGCTGTGTGTGCATGAAGTTATACTCACAATGGCACTCGCTCCTCAGGCATTAGGCTGAATACAACTCTTCCAAGAACCACACAACCAGGGTTTCTTCCTGGTTGCAGAGCACTAAGTGGTTTTAGCTGGAGGCCCCCATAATGACCCAGAAGAACAGGACCTAAACTACTCAGCATATTCTGTAGTCGCTTTCCACGTATCTTCCCCTATTAAAATATTAAAAGTGAATACAGCACATGAATTAAGATTATACAAAAACAATGCCACGTAGAAGAGGCCAAAACCTGCAGAAACTATTAAGGTAAGAAGAAAGCACATGGTAAAGATTGAGAGACAATACCTTGTTGTTCAGCAGGCCACACAGTCTGCCCAGATAATCAAGCAGTTGTTCTTCCCTCATCACAGTTCAGTCCATGAAGGCTCCAGAGCGGCGGCTCGCGAGAAACCATCCAGAGCTCCCTGGTAGTTCTCCTCATATTTACACAACTAGCAGGAAAGACCTGCATCAATCAAAAACTCTCCACTGCTCAAACAACAAAGAGCTTATCTACCAACAAACATTTCCAACAGCTTAGTATGAAATAACCCCTCACTGACAAAAACCTCTTTATTGTGCCATTTAAGTAAAGGATTCGGGAAAAGATGATATAAATGTGCAGCTATCTTTTCAATATGGAAGATTTGGAAAAGTAGGTCTCTGTGACTTGCTTATTCAGGAGGACAAGAAATGAGGACTCCAAGGAGACCAAGTTAACAGGGTGATTACAGGGAACTGGACAGCAGAGATGCTAGGTGCACATGAATAACGTGAATGAAAAATCAGAAGCTCTAAGCAGGCAGGCCATGTTGAATGGAGACCACCTTTAAAACATATAAACTCTAAAACATAATTTGTTATAATCACTTTTTATATAAATATCTTGAGGGAGCAAAGCCATTAAACTAGGCCCACGATATTATAGTAACAGCTCGCAGTGGCTTATAGTAACAGATTAAAGTATAACTAAAGGCACTTTGTTTTGTTTTTTTTTAAAGTTTTGGATGAATTACAGAGGGGATTAGATCACCTGTCAGGTTTTTATTGCTGTCTGCACCCCCCATTAGGGAGTTTCACCTTCTCTATTTTTCCTGCTTACCATTATCATTGAACGTGAACCTAAAAGAAAATCCCAAATGTTGGGACGTCTCCAGAAAAGTAATAGTGGGGAAATCTTCCAATGGGGACATTAGTTCTGGTGACCTGGGAATCCCCTAAGGATTCCCTTAATTTGCAGGGATTTCCTCTCACTTCCGGTTTGGCTATGGGACAGGAAGTCAAGGGAAATCTCCAAAATGGGACACAGATGGAAAAAAAAAAAAATTGCCTATAGGTCTACTTTAACACAGAATCTGGTTTATGACTCATGACACACACAGTATCTCACAGAAGTGAGTATGCCCCTCACATTTTTGTAAATCTTTTATTATAGCTTTTCATGTGACAACACTGAAGAAATGACACTTTGCTACAATGTAAAGTAGTGAGTGTACAGCTTGTATAACAGTGTAAATTTGCTGTCCCCTCAAAATAACAACACACAGCCATTACTGTCAAACCCTGCTGGCAAGAAAAGTTAGTACACCCCTAAGTGAAAATGTCCAAATTGGGCCCAAAGTGTCAATATTTTATGTGGCCACCATTATTTTCCAGCACTGCCTTAACCCTCTTGGGCATTGAGTTCACCAGAGCTTTACAGGTTTCCACTGGAGTCCTCTTCCACTCCTCCATGACAACATCACGGATCTGGTGGATGTTAGAGACCTTGCACTCCTTCACCTTCTGTTTGAGGATGCCCCACAGATGCTCAATAGGGTTTAGGTCTGGAGACCTGCTTGGCCAGTCCATCACCTTTACCCTCAGCTTCTCTAGCAAGGCAGTGGTCGTCTTGGAGGTGTGTTTGGGGTCATGATGTTGGAATATCGCTCTGTGGCCCAGTCTCCGAAGGGAGGGGATCATGCTCTGCTTCAGTATGTCACAGTACATTTTGTCATTCATGGTTCTCTCAATGAACTGTAGCTCCCCAGTGCCGGCAGCACTCATGCAGCCCCAGACCATGACACTCCCACCAACATGCTTGACAATAGGCAAGACACACTTGTCTTTGTACTCCTCACCTAGTTGCCGCCACACACACGCTTGATACCATCTGAACCAAATAAGTTTATCTTGGTCTCATCAGACCACAGGACATGGTTCCAGTAATCCATGTCCTTAGTCTGCTTGTCTTCCGCAAACTGTTTGCGGGCTTTCTTGTGCATCATTTTTAGAAGAGGCTTCCTTCTGGGAAGATAGCCATGCGACCAATTTGATGCAGTGTGTGGAGTATGATCTGAGCACTGACAGGCTGACCCCACACCCCTTAAACCTCTGCAAACAATGCTAGCAGCACTATTTCCCAAAGACAACCTCTGGATATGACGATGAGCACGTGCACTCAACATCTTTGGTTGACCATGGCGAGGCCTGTTCTGAGTGGAAACTGTCCTGTTAAACCGCTGTATGGTCTTGGCCACCGTGCTGCAGCTCAGTTTCAGGGTCTTGGCAATCGTCTTATAGCCTAGGCCATCTTGATGTAGAGCAACAAATCTTTTTTTCAGATTCTCAAAGAGTTCTTTGCCATGAGGTGCCATGTTGAACTTCCAGTGACCAGTATGAGAGAGAAAGTGATAACACTAAATTTAAACACACCTGAGACCTTGTAACACTAACGAGTCACATGACACCAGGGAGGGAAAATGGCTAATTGGGCCCAATCTGGACATTTTCACTTAGGGGTGTACTCACTTTTGTTGCCAGCGGTTTAGACATCAATGCATCAATGGCTGTGTGCTGAGTTATTTTGAGGGGACAGCAAATTTCACACTGTTATACAAGCTGTACACTCCCTGCTTTACATTGTAGCAAAGTGTTATTTCTTCAGTGTTGTCACATAAAAAGATAGAATAAGATATTTACAAAAATGTTAGGGGTGTATTCACCTCTGTGAGATACTGTGTGTAAAATGTGATAAAATATATATATATAGCGCACGCACACACACACGATACTCTGGCCCTTCTACAATATTAACAGTAATATCACCAGTGTGTTACCATACAATCAATCAAGCACATAAATGACTATTGTGGAGAAAATTCCTATAATGATATGTAACACATCCTAAGTTCATTAAACACACCACTTACAGTTGCTCGGTTAAGGTGCAGATCTGGGTTACTGGAGGCAGTCTTATCAACTCTCTCCTGCAGTAGAAAATAGTGAATAAAACAGTATGAGTGATTGAGGGGGGGGGGGGCTTTAGAAATGGTCTACATTTCTGCTTGAGTGACTTTTTTTTCTCTACCAAGTATTCATCAACACTGACATTTTGCTTATGGACAGATGACTGCGTGCTGAATAATCCAGACTTGTCTTACATGTGTATTCAGCAGCAAGATATTTGTACCTTGATTATCTAACTGTTCCCCCTCCTCAACATGGGAGTCTCAATCTATGTGCGGAAACAGAAAGAGTCTCAATGCTTGTGTTGCAAACTTTTCAACATAAGAAAAATGAACACTAAACCAGGGAGACCAAGACCCGTTGTAACATTGTACCCGTTGCAGAAAGTGGACAGACCTGGGAACTCAAATGTGACCTCAATATTAGTTTGCCTATACAGCCCAGAAAGGCAGAAATAGTGTAACAGTGGGTTTGGGTGGACTAAAATGTTGAAACCATTCTGTACCTTTGACGTGGCTAGAAACAAGATTGTTGCTACACTACTTCAGACTACTAGAAAATAAAATTGTTGTAAACCCTTACATATATATCCAGTGAAGTGACTAGCCTCAGGTCATACAGCAATTAAAACAAATCTTACTACATAAGCTGTATCTGTTTATCTGTAGCCACGTCTCCTGTTGAGCCTTCTAAAAAACACACAGATCAAAGGATTTTTCTTAGCAGCAGAAATCAGGTTGGGGTTTTGAGGTCACACACACTGCAGAGCTAGGGAACAGAGTTCCCTGTAATCTGATAGCTTCATGGAGGGAAAGGACACACCTATAAGTCACCTGCTGAGGGGAAATGGGGGGATTTGTGGCTCCCTATAGGATGTTGTGTAGGCTTAAAGAGCCATCAGTGACTCGTGCAGATAGAGAGAGTTGAGATCAGAGAAGAATCATACTCGGCGCTTTGGACTGGGGCTAGTACACAATATAGAAGGATGCGATTGTTGAATTTTCATGTCTGAGGTGTACAACCACAATAAAATGGAAGCCTCAAGCTATTGATGCACCTCAAATTGCAGTGCATATAATAAAACGCTCTAGACACAAATATATGCTAGTAACTCTAGAGCCACTTTGTTTTAAATAAAAAATAAAATGCAACATCCCACAGGTATAACTTCCACCAGTTATCTTACTGTAAATTCCAATGTCAAAAGTGATGACATCACACATGCGGTAAACAGTATAGGTGGTGTTTTTTTTTCCCAAAGCATTGAAACAATGTTACTGCTTTTTGGAAACATTTTATAATAAGGCCAACCTTGACTGATCTGCACCATCGAAGCGTCTTCTTTTTGTGGATACCAGTAAGATGATATAGTGTTGGAGGTTGTAAAGGTGGCCAAGGTCCATTCCTAATCCTGTATGGGGATTGTTCTCGGGCAAATGTTGACCTCTAGTCTAGGCTCTAAGGACCATCATTCTGGTAAGCCTTTGCTTCTAATTCAGTGGTGACGGATAACCTGACACATACAGTAGCTTCACATCTGCTGTTGGCATTCACAGCAAGACAACTGGTGAAATTTATGAACATGGGACATTGTATTTTTATTTTTTAACACACAGTGGTGGAAGAGTTACCAGCATATATTTGTTGCAACACAGTAATATTACTGCAATTTGTTCATGTTACTATGGAGACTTTATGTATCAGCAGCGGTGATCAGCGACTTATAGCGAGACTGTGATAGTATGACAGGCATTCTGGCACTAGCTAACTGACATCACCAGTGAGATCAGTGCTAATAAAATGCACTGTCACTGTACTAATGACACAGGGTAGGTAGGGGTTAACATCTGGGGCAATCAAAGGGTTAACTGTTTACCTAGGGAGTGTAACGTAACTGAACTGTGTACTGTTTTTACTATGGAAAGGGCTGTTTTTGTCTCTCTGCTTTGTAGGGAGACAAAAAAAAAAAAAAGGCACATTTCCTCTGTCAGAGAGATCTGTGTTGTGTGGTTTACAACAGAGATCTCTCTCCGGTCACTCGCTCAGACAATTGTCTGATTCATAGCCGGGACCCAGTGATCGGCATGTAAGGGAGTCAGCAAGCCGCAGCCTGGTAGGAGGGCACACAGAAGTGCAGAATCACCACACGCCCGGTGCCAACAGTGAATGGGCCGACAAAAGCCTAGGCATCAGAACAAAATTTCTAGTTGCCATGGCGACCTGGTGCCTGGGATTTGTCGAGCCCTGTTTTAAAATGAGTGACTGGCAGGCTTCAGAAGGATTTGAAAAGCTTCAATATGTGTTGAATCTTACTAGCAGCTTGTTTAACACAACATTCAGCACTTCCATTAAGATCTGTTTCACAATCCCAAACTGGAGCTAAATGGTATTAAAAGGCGTTAAAGCAAAGTTTGCCGAAATCTCTGCAAAAGCTTTGTAAAAGCTTGGTATACAAACTGTTTTTATACAAGCAAAACCCATGTGAAAAAAACCTTATGCTGTAGGATCTTACTTTTTATGTGTTTCTTTACGTTCTAGAGCAGCATAGACTACAAAAAGTTATCGAGATTCCACATCAATACTGCCAAACATTTAACTAAGGAAAGCAACCGTATGTTTCCAAATGAACAAAAAGTAAAAAAAACATTCTTATCTTTCGGAGGTCATGGCAAGTTGGAATTTAAATTAAAAAGAAATGGAAAACTGAAGTCCAGAAAGCGGTCTTTGGAATTAAGTAGTTATATCTGAATGGGGTCCCACCCATCAGAGAGTTTCTCTCATTTGCTAGTAGACAAATGCTGCAGGATACCATTACTGAAGTATGAACTGTCTTATAGGACCCCAGCTGAACATTACTCACACAGAAATGGCATAGTAAATAATGTCACGGATTAAGCACCCTCTGACAATTCTTACGCTATCAAAACCTGTGACAAAACAGTGGTGTACAGGAATAGATTTCTTACCACATTTTTGTAACTTTCATGTAGCAAACTTAAGCAGCCTCAAAAATGATTTCCTAGCACTGACCCAAACCTTGCTGCCATCTACATTTGCTATAGACATGTTGCATGACCCAGTAGGGTAAGATCTACAGGTGAAGCTCAAAAAGTTAGAATATCGTGCAAACGTTCATTTATTTCAGTAATGCAACTTAAAAGGTGAAACTAATATATGAGATAGACTCATTACATGCAAAGCAAGATAGTTCAAGCCGTGATTTGTCATAATTATGATGATTATGGCTTACAGCTCATGAAAACCCCAAATCCACAATCTCAGAAAATTAGAATATTGTGAAAAGGTGCAATATTCTAGGCTCAAAGTGTCCCACTCTAATCAGCTAATTAAGCCATAACACCTGCAAAGGGTTCCTGAGCCTTTAAATGGTCTCTCAGTCTGGTTCAGTAGCAATCACAATCATGGGAAAGACTGCTGACCTGACAGTTGTGCAGAAAACCATCATTGACACCCTCCATAAGGAGGGAAAGCCTCAAAAAGGTAATTGCAAAAGACGTTGGATGTTCCCAAAGTGCTGTATCAAAGCACATTAACAGAAAGTTATGTGGAAGGGAAAAGTGTGGAAGAAAAAGGTACACAAGCAGCAGGGATGACCGCAACCTGGAGAGGATTGTCAGGAAAAGGCCATTCAAAAGTGTTGGGGACTTTCACAAGGAGGGGACTAAGGCTGGAGTCAGTGCATCAAGAGCCACCACACACAGACAGATCCTGGACATGGGCTTCAAATGTTGTATTCCTCTTGTCAAGCCGCTCCTGAACAACAAACGTCAGAAGCTTCTTACCTGGGCTAAAGAAAAACAGAACTGGTCTGTTGTTCAGTGGTCTAAAGTCCTATTTTCTGATGAGAGCAACTTTTGCATCTCATTTGGAAACCAAGGACCCAGAGTATGGAGAAAGAATGGAGAGGCACACACTGCAAGATGCTTGAAGTCCAGTGTGAAATTTCCACAGTCTGTGTCGATTTGGGGAGCCATGTCATCTGCTGGTGTTGGTCCACTGTGCTTCATTAAGTCCACGGTCAACGCAGCCGTCTACCAGGAGATTTTGGAGCACTTCATGCTTCCTTCCGCAGACAAGCTTTATGGGGATGCTGACTTCATTTTCCAGCAGGACTTGGCACCTGCCCACACTGCCAAAAGCACCAAAACCTGGTTCAATGACCGTGGGATTACTGTGCTTGATTGGCCAGCAAACTCGCCTGACCTGAACCACATAGAGAATCTATGGGGCATTGCCAAGAGAAAGATGAGAGACATGAGACTGAACAATGCAGAAGAGCTGAAGGCCACTATTGAAGCATCCTGATATTCCATAACACCTCAGCAGTGCCACAGGCTGATAGCTTCCATGACACGCTGCATTGAGGCAGTAATTGCTGCAAAAGGGGCCCAAACCAAGTACTGAGTACATATGCATGCTTATACTTTTCAGAGGTCCGATATTGTTCTATGTACAATCCTTGTTTTATTGATTGCATGTAATATTCTAATTTTCTGAGATTGTGGATTTTGGGTTTTCATGAGCTGTAAGCCATAATCATCACAATTATGACAAATCATGGCTTGAACTATCTTGCTTTGCATGTAATGAGTCTCTCTCATATATTAATTTAACCTTTTAAGTCGCATTACTGAAATAAATGAACTTTTGCACGATATTCTAATTTTTCGAGTTTCACCTGTATGCACCTTAGTTCCCAGGTATGCTTACTTGTACCTGTCATTACACAGGAGATCTCATTTTGTTTTCTGGATATTTTTGTTATTTTCCCAATGTGGTGTTCATCAAACTAGCATCCATCCATAACAGAAAACAGCAGTGTAATGCAACTTTAGCATCTCAAATGAAGGGATTCAAGCCATGTTAAGATGAAATTAATGGCTTACACATTGTATTTTTATACAATTTGTATCTACAAAAAAAACCTCAGGCAAAAGACTAGGAGTTTCCTTGTACAATTCTTTATTATATATAGATGATTACACAGTAGAAGGTGCACCTACTGTATGTGTATGTCAAGCAACAATCAGCATCCTTACTGAAGTGCCTTTCAAGAGGATTTGAAGAGGAGCACTTCTATCCAAGTAAAATCACTCAAACTGACTGCTTTTGAAAAAGGTATACTATGCACAAAGAGGGGCCTCCACAAAACACATTGTATGATTTGGAGTCATTGTCTAGAGACTATTGTGTCGGAATATTATCATGCATGCAGACTGCCCCTCCTTCCTTTCCTCTAGCAGTAAAACTTAATGCCTTCCACACTTGCTTGTGGACTATGATATTCCTATTATCTGATTTTTGGTCACATTTAGACAGCAATTGTGAAGCTGAGTGACGGATATTATTTGTTAATTGTCTGGATTGCCAATCTAATATACCTTTGTTGATGATTCATAGTAATGCTTGGGAATTGAAAGAACTACTAGGAAATATACCTTAAAGAGCACAGTACCAGCGGACTTTTTCCCTGTCTGGATACAAATCATACAAGAATGACCACAATCTTGTATCTATTACTATTGTATTATTTTGTAAAAATGTACAAAATTTAAAAACCTGATCATTTATTACTTGAAATATCCAAAAAAAGAATCTCACCGCTTGCAGATAGGCATTCAGAGCCTGCTGAGAAATTTTTGGGTTCTGTCCAGTGCAGAAGAACAGAGAGAGATATGCATTGCCCAGGATGTCTGAGAAAGCAAATTGCAAAAATGACAGTGTGAAGCATGAAGAAAGAAACCAGTATATTGTTTGGCTTTCCAATCATGAAATTTGAATTTATAAAATATAATTTTGCAGTGTGGAGCCTGTTGTGTCCCACTAATGCTCTGTGCATAATGCAGCAATGCACTCTATGTGATTGGAGTAGAGGCTAATCAGATGACTAACAGGTCATATGACCAAGCTCTCCTTCTCCCAGGTACCCCCTTCCATAATTCATTCATGGTAATGGGGCTTTGATTGTGTCAGAGACCCCTATCAAGCAAAATGCTAAACCCTTTTTTATTGTACAGCAGTAACTAACTCTTTTTTTGCGTTAAGGCCAAATTGCCTCCTTATAACTGTTGTAAGACAAGTTGAATAACACTTGCAGCAAGAAAAAGCCATTCCCCCCCCATTAGTACTTTTATACAATCACAGAAAATTATCCTAATTTTCACTCAGCGTATTCTAGAGAGGTTAAAAGGTCAGAAGGCTCAGTAGGGAGTTCAGATGTTGCTTTGCATGGACAGAAACTGCAGATCTTTGAATACATTTCAAAGAATCCCTAAACCAACATTATAAAATGCATCCATAAAAGAGCCCTACGCTAAAAACAGGTCAAACAATTTATTGCCTATTTCTCCAGGTATAAAGCCAATCAATGTATGTGTCAGCATAAAATAAGGTAATCTAACACTTTGAGAATAAAAACAATCTGATAAACAAAACAGAACAGGGAAATTTGAAACAGCTGAAGCTAGTTATACATTGATTTAAAAGGTGAACCCAGTAGGGTTCAGCCTGGAGGACAGCGGGGATGAACTGTGAGCTAACTGGGCTCCACTGCAATTTACAACACTGTTAGTCTATCAGTGAAAGCTTTCTGACAGAAGTGGGGGGCAGAGTTAGCAGTGTAATGGTCTTGCCAGTGTGGATACAGTTTTTGTGAATTACTGAGTAACCCCGCTTTATTACTTAACTGCAGTGCGGAAAAGCAAGCTCATTAACCCAACTTAGCTGTCTGATAGGGGTGCCTGTATTTAGCTAGATAACTTGGGCTGGCCATGTATTGATCGTTTTTTTCCACATTCGAGGTGGATGGGGGGAAATCACTATCACGCTGTGCTATTGTTCTCTGATGGCGGGGAAACTTCCACCGTCAAAACACACTGATCAGTGCCACCAGCTATAGCCGGCAGCATTGATCGATCAGGAGAAACAGGCTGGTTGTATAGAAATTAGTCGACAGACCTGTACAACCAGGGTGCCCTTACATGGATCAAAATTCGGTCGGCCAGAGAATCCAAATAGGGCTGAAGATTATTAACTGCTTCACCTCTAATGCAAATTTTTCACATGTTAAAAATCAGCATTCTTGGCTAAAAATAAATACTTACAAACCCCCAGAACATTATATGTGTTTTCTAATCAAAGTTCATGGAGAATATAGAGATTGTAGTTGCAATTTATGTTGTTGCTTGATATTTGCTATGGGGTTTCAGAAAAAAAATACACCAACATGAATTTTAGTGCATACAAAACAATTTAACCCCCAATTTTTTTGCCAAGTAAATAGATAGCAAATATGTCAAGCCTCAAATCTCTATTCACCCCCAAAATGGTGAAAAACGCAGTTATTTACCTGTTAACTGTATTTCCAGGACAGCTTCACATGAGCAATAGGCTCCTCCCAGGAAACACCCGATCAACCTTTTCCTATAAGCAGCCTCTCTCCCTAGGGGACCCTCAGTACAGGAATATGACTGAAGGCCTAGGATGAAGCATAAAGATGGCAGGAGAAACCATATATCACCAGTTCATTGCATGACGGAACACCAGCATATAAGTACACAGTAATTGGGAGGGAGTTACGCTGTCCTGGAAGATTCCTGGAAATACAGTTAACAGGTAAATAACTGTTTTCCCCCTAGTCATCTTCCAGGACAGCTTCACAGGAGAGGATTGAATAGGAATACGTACATTAGGGCGGGGCTATCGCTTGCAGGACCTTTCTGCCAAACGCCTGGTCTTTGTTGTCGATCAGGTCCAACCGGTAGTGTCTGGCGAAGGTGCTGAAGCTGGACCATGTTGCGGCCTTGCAGATCTGTCCGGGGGAGACCCCAGCCTTCTCTGCCCAGGTAGCTGCGGTGGTCCTGGTTGAATGTGCCTTTAAGCCAGGTGGAGGTGCCAGTGACTCAGTTTTGTATCCCTCTGAGATGGCCTCTCTTAACCATTTTGCGATGGTGCCTTTGGAGACATTGTATCCCTTTGGAATAAGATGGAAGAGACTGGATGAGCATCTCCATGTTTTCGCACGTTCGATGTATGCAATTAAGCATCTCCTTACATCAATTTTGTTGTAATCACCCTCTATGGCGTTGCTTGGGTTTCTAGCAAAGGATGGTATTACTATTTCTTGTGATCTGTGGAAATGCAACGCGACTTTTGGTAGGAATGCCGGATCCGTGCGGAGGATGGTTGAGTGGAGACCAGAGAGTCAAATGCCTGAGAGAGCATTCCTCCAAGGGTTCAAAAGGTTCTTGCTGAAACCTTTTTAGAACTGTGCCTAGGTCTCATATAGGGTACTTTGGCACGGATCGGACTCGGCATCTGGAGATGGCCCTCAGGAATCTGATTACTAAAAGGATCTTCTGTAAATCTCCGCTCCAGGAAATTAGACAGAGCGGCTACTTGCACTTTAAGAGTATTGGCGGCCAGGTTCTTGTCTGCCCCGGCTTGAAGGAATTTGAGAACTGTATTTAAGATGGGGGCCTCTGACAATTCGTTCCTGCTTCTCCAGATTTTGTCATATATGGTGTATGTTGACTTTTTTCACCCGTCTAAGATGGTGGCGACTACTCTTTCTGATAAACCTTTTCCAGTTAGCCTGTTCCGCTCAGAAGCCAAGCTGTCAGGGATAGCTTTTCTGGGTGTGCCACTGCCCCCTGTGCGAGTAAGTCGTGCGTGGGCGGTATCATCCACGGGTCCGTTAGGCTCAGTTTCTTCAGGTGGGAGAACCATTAACGTTTGGGCCAGAATGGAGAAAACAGGATGACCCTGGCTTGGGATGATTGTATCTTCTGTATCACTCTTGGTAGCAATCTGAATGGTGGGAAAGCATAAAGGAGTTCTCCTTCCCATTGTTGTGCTAGTGCGTCTGTCCCTGCACTCCTGGGGTCCTTTTGCAGGCAGAAGTATTTCTCTAGTTTTGCATTCTTTCTGTTGGCGAAGAGGTCTATGGAGGGAGCACCCCATCTGGTGCAGATTTTGTCGAACGTTGTATGGCTGAGGCACCACTCTGACTGGTTGACATCCTCCCGGCTCAACTGGTCCGCCAGCTCATTTAGATCTCCTTTCAGGTGTAACGCTGTGATGGATTTTATGTTCCTTTCTGCCCAGCTCAGGAGGGTTTCCACTAGTTCCATCAGTTTCGGGGACCTCGTGCCTCCTTACCTGTTTAAGTATGCGACCGCCATTGTGTTGTCAGACAAGATCTGAACCTCTTTCTCTTCTATCTTCTTATGAAAAGCTGTGAGAGCTCTGAAAATAGCCAATAATTCTCTGAAGTTTGATGACCTCCCTGAGATCTCCGGGTCCCACTTGCCCTGGGTCAGGCAATCCTCCATGTGCGCGCCCCACCCCCACATGCTTGCGTCTGTGGTGATTCTTATTGGGTTGACCTGCTTCCACTTCCTTCCCGGCTTTAGTGTGTGGATGTTCCCCCCCCCACTCTAGTGATTCTCTCACTTTGAGCGTGAGGCGGATGCTGGAATCTAGGGATGCTTGGCTGCCATCCCAGTGGGAGAAGACGTGGTTCTGTATCGTTCTGGAGTGTAGTTGTGCCCATTGTACCGCTGGTATGGTGGCTGTCATGTACCCGACAAGCTTCATGGCGTTTGACTGTGCAGGTCGCCATCCCCTGGAAGGTTTTCGTTTCTTGTTGTAGTTTGAGCACTTTTTTCTGCGGTCAGGTATAAGCAAGTATTTGTGGAATCCAGAATGTATCCCAAATACGTGATCCTCCTGGAAGAGACTAGCTTTGATTTCTCCATGTTTATTAACCACCCTATGTTTTCCAGGAAGGATATTGTGTGCTCTACGTGGGATTCAGGCCTCTTTCCGTGTCCGCAAATAAGAGCAGGCTGTCCAGATAGGCGATGATGTTTATCCCTTCTAACCTCAGGGTTGCAGAGATTCCGCTAGGATCTTTGTGAATATTCTTGGAGCTGAAGATAGAGCAAAAAGGGAGTGCATTGAATTGCAATAAGATCGTTCTTCGTTTGCCTTTTAGTGCGAATCTTAGAAACGTCCTCGATTCTTCGCTTATCGGGGAGTGAAGGTATGCATCCTTTAGGTCTATTGATGCCATAAATGCACCCGGCAGAAGGAGTTCTTTCATCCTATGTATTGTTGCCATGCAGAATTTTTGGGTTTTACGAATTTGTTCACCTTCTTCTGGTTGAGTATCATTCTGTAACTTCTGGACGCCTTTCTTCTTAGAAAAAAAAAAAAAACATTCTGTTGGAACATCCCTTCCAGGAGGTTCACCAGCGCGTCCGCCTTTTCTTTGTCCCTTGGTAAGGGGGTCACGAAAAACTTCCAGGGGGGAGTCTTGAAAACTCTATCCTGTAGCCATTGCGAATTGTGTCTAGGATGAATGCAATCTGGGTAGTCTTCTGCCATTGTGTGTGGAAGTGTCCTTGGCTTCGCCAGTCAATTGGGCGGAGTCTTGGATTTGACCTGATTGGGGTTGAAGAGGAAGCCTCCCTTCCCCTTTTGGAGGTCCAGCCCTTTTTCTGACCTTGAAATTTTGCCTCCCTGGTTGCCTTTCCGTCCCGCTTGCCCGCTAGGGGTAGGAAACCCTTTTCTTCTATCGGCCGATCTCTCTAGGATCGAGGTTAGCTCTAGCCCAAAGGAGTTTTCCTTCAAAGGGTAAACCACAGAGCCTGGATTTGCAGGCGACATCCCCCGCCAGGATTTTAACCAGATGGCTCTACGGGCTGCGTTTATGAGTGCCGTTGATCTTGCTGTATACTTGTTTCAGCCGGTGCGTCTACGATGAAGGCCTTTGCTTTCTCCAAGACCGGCAATGACTTGAGAATTTCCTCCACCGGAAGGTGAGAGCGAAGCTGACCCATCCATACATCCAGGGTTCTGGAAACGCAGGTAGTTGCTATTGCTGGTTTAAAGTTTACCGCAAATGCTTCCCGTGCCCTTTTAAGAAATGTGTCGGCCTTGCGGTCCATTGGATCCATTGGATCCTTTAAGGAACCTCCGTCTTCAAACGATAGATCTGCTGATAGATCTGCTGATTTAGAGATCTTCGGAAAGTGGGGCTTCTGGTTTTGGGCAGGGCTCCCATACGGACGCATCTTCATCCTTAAAAACGGGAAATGCCTTTTCAGATTTTTAGGGGAAAAAAAAAAAAAAAAAAAAGCTTTCCTTTCCGGCTCTTCCCATTCCCTCTTTATGATAGACCATAGGGTGGAGTGGACCAGGAATGTGCGGCCACTTTTCTCCTGTAGCCACGCATAAAGTTGGTCATGTAGAGAGAGATCTGGTTGTTCCTCTTCTAAGTTCAGGGTATCGTAGATTACCCTCAGGAGACCTTCTGTATCCTCTACCGGAAAAAGGAATCTCTGTGACCTGTGGTCCTGTTCTTCCGTCTCGCTTTCTTACGAGTCGAAAGTACCAGAAGGTTCATCCTCTTGGACCGTAACAGTGCCCGGGTCTTGTGTCCTCTTCTTAGCCGTCAGGGAAACGGCTGAGGTGCCTGGTTGGGGCTCGTCCAAGCCCGGTTCCTGCATTTGCACTCTGAAATTTTGCAAGGTTTTAGACATTTCCTGCGTCATATTTTCTAAGAAAATCTTTAAAGAGCGACCCCGACTCTTTAAATCAGCTTGTCAATGCACTCTTGGCATAGCTGTTTTTTCCAAGTGCTAGAAAACCTCCTCTTGCAGGTAGCGCATCTCCTCTTGGCTTCACAGAGGACCTCCTTGTCTCTCCTCTCTTCTTCCTGTGGGCCCATCTAAGGACAGGAAGACACAAGGTGTAGGCTTGCTGTAATGCTAGGGCCCTAAGGACAACCCCTAATGTGCACCCACTGCAATCCCAAGAAAAGACCCTCGAGGTGCTGGAGAGAGAAAGAGGGGTGGGGCTATATCCCCCCCCCCCCTCCAGGGCATCCAGGGCAAACAAGAGGTATATAGAGAACAACACAGGGAGGGGGGGTATGACAGCAGCCCGCAGGCTCCAACCTTACAGCTGGCGTCCCCCAGCTCTGACAGATCTGCCTCCATTCTGCCGCTCTCCTGCCCTCAGCGCGGCTGTCTTTCAAGGGTAGCAGGGCTCCGCCCCTTCCCTCAGGTCCTGGAACGCTGGCTTCCCCTCACGGCTGTGGTGGCTGAAGTGGCCGTGGCGTGGGCAAAATCGAGGCCTTCCACCCATACTCAAGATGGCAGCGGAGCCTCTTCCTGTTCGAGCACCGGAACGTGACGATCACGGGTCCCGCCGACTGGAAGTGACAATCCCGGCCGTGACATCATCCGCCCACGCCGCCTCGCCCAGATGTCGGCGTGCAGAGGAGCAAGGTAGGCTGTTCCTTACCTCACAGGGTAGCGGGCCCTCCCGGTAAGCCAGTGGAGCGGGCTCTCACCCCTGGAGAGCCCAGCAGGACCAAAAAGGAGGGTGCTGTCACCTCCAACTCCCGGAGGAAGGGTTTTTTTGCAGGGAATACTTGAGAGGCCACCCCCGCAAGGTCCCTGCCTTGCTAAACCTAGGAGGGGTAGCCCCATCCAGAAGGCCTCTGTACCCCGCCAGAAGGCCATAAAAAAAAAAAAAAAAAAAAAAAACTGGAGCAGTTCTTTATCCTGGTCCAGAAGAAACACTAATACTGAGGGTCCCCTAGGGAGAGAGGTTACTTATGTGAAGAGAAGGTGGATCGGATGTTTCCTGGGAGAAGCATATGTCTCATGCCTGGAAGATGACTAGGGAAAATTATGATATTTAAAGTGGAACTTTACCCATAACATTGATAAAAAATAATGTCCTTTAGCAAGGAACATGCATTCCACATTCTTATTCATGCTACCAAAATTAGTGTGCACTGTACATTGCCTCCCCCATCGATTCTGTTTCATCTTGCTGGAGGCTGCCATTTTGCTGAAGCCCAGAGCCCCTGAACAGCAGTAAACGGTAAAAAGCGAAATTAAATCCATCAATTTAACGGTTTTAAAAAAACAGTTACATTCCTGGAGTTGCTAACTGTCACATTTGCTTGTGTCCTCAACCAAATTGTCAAACCATCAAATGGCTGGAGTCATGACTGATCACATGTGCAGTCTCATGGCAGTTGAAATTCAAACAGAAGCAGCTTCCTTGGCTGTAAAATGATAGGAAATGATAGGAGGGTTTAATTCCGCTTTAAGGTGGTCAGCAGATCGGCCTCTACAAGTTTGGCAACTGAGCATGTGCAGAGCAGGGTGCAACAGTATATTACTGGATTTTAACCAGTATAGGCACTTATTTTTAATGTTTTACAAAGCGATATCTGCAAAAGGGGCCATCCTGAAGTGATCTAGCAGAACTTAATTTTCTGACTAAAGTTCCACTTTAAGTGGAACTAAACCCTCATATCCTTTACAGCCAAGGAAGCTGCCATCTTAGTCTCCATTTGATCTGCAGTTACCACAGTGCTGAATATGTGGTCAGTTATGACACCAGCCATTTGATGGCTTGACTGAGAGCACAAATAACTGTGCCAGTTATCATTCATAACAAGCTTTGAATGCAACGGTTTTGGGAAACCGTTGGGTTTAAACACCTTTACAGCTTATCAGTTTAAAGTTAACTGTAAATGAGGGACTTAGAACTATTGCTCTCACTATGGCGTATGATATATATATGTAGACTTTAAAAAACATAGCACTGACTTTATTAGAATGATAATCATTTTATGGCACCACATAGAGAGCCCTGTCCACAGAAAAGGTACAGCTGGTGGTGTTAAAAACCTGACTGACTGTCATATACTTTCTACTTACACCAGGATGTCCCATCTCTTGTATCCATCTGCACAGCTTGCTTTGCTTGCTTCACACTGTCCATGATGTTTCCGGAATTCTCATCAGCATCTTGTGATCGTTGTTGTCTCATCACCATTGACAGGTTACGCAAGGAGACCTTGTTCTTACACTGGCAAGAAGAAATTAGGCAAACAATTACATGCACTGGCTTTGGGTCATTTTATAACAAACGGTTTTACATTTTTTTTTTTTAAATTATAGGCTATGTCATATACACTTGCAAAAGAACAATAAAAACTGTCCAAACAAAAACAAACAATGTTCAAAAGACTGCTTTATGTATTGGTATACATAAGAGTTTAATTTTGCAAGTAAAATACTAAAAAAAAAACCCAAGAAAAAGACGGACGTGGTAGGTGGATTCTTACATGGTTGAGAGCCCCCAAAAAACAGGTCTTAGCAGATGTTACATCCATTTTTTTCCAGTACACTTCTCCTAGCTGATTCCAAGCTTCAACCATTCCAGGGTCCAGCTTAACAGCTTTAGACAGGAGCTCTTCAGCTTCTGAACAATAGTTGGGTGTTACATTGAGAGCTTTTCCCTTCAGCATCAAGAAGGAGGCCTTGTTCTTCCAAACATCTGCATTATAAGAAGGAAAAATAAAAAGTAGTGCTGTTTTTCTAACAAAGTGGTGCCTTACAATAAGCATACCACATGCTTGATATTAACATTACCATCAATCTCCTCTATCAGAAAAACGGTCTGCTCCATTTCCTGCTTCACATCGAAACGGTTTACGAATAGCATCTTCCACACTGTGGCTGTCAAAATAGTGGTCCCGAAAATGATAAAGTTTGTCTACAAGTTCCTGAAAGAGCAAATGTGTGTTAACCTCCATGGCAGCACTGCATATATTAACATACTAAGATTTTTTTTTTTTTTTTTTTAGAAGTACAAGATTCTGACACTAGTTAGAACTGAAGAAGTAGCTTGGATAAGCTGCAAAACATCTTCACCATCGCAGACCACATCCAATTGATTGTGACTAACCACTACTAGACCTGGATAAAAAAGAGAATGTTTGCAGACATATAAGCAATGGGGGTCACTTTCCAACAGTCCACAGTTCACTTTGGAACATTAACCACTGTAAGCTTTTGAGCTTTTGTAAGCCCATGCTTTTGAGCAAACTTTCTTTAGAGAGCAGTTTGCCTCTAAAAAAGCTCAAATATACTCAGTTTTTTAATACATATTTCTACAAAATGTATATAGCAAGACTTTAATTTAAAAACAGATTTATAAACAGACCACTTGGTAGAGATATATCTTTCATTATTGTGCCTACAGTTTTCACCTGGCAACAGCCAAATATTTAATATATTTCAAGTGATTCTAAAGGTGCATTTTTTATTGTTTAAAAATAAACATGTAATACTTACCTGCTCTGTGCCTCTTAGGGGCATGAAAATTATTATTATTATTATACAGTATTTATAAAGCGCCGATAGTTCACTCAGCGCTGTACATTACAAAGGGGGACAGAACATGTGACAGAACAATACCAATACAATGCAAAACATGAGGGGATCGAGGGCCCTGCTCTTTCAAGCTTACAATCTAGAAGATGGTAGGATTTGACATACGGGGCTAAATACCCAATGTACATGACATCTTAGATTGTAAGCCCTCATGAGCAGGGCCCTCCTAATTCTCCTGTATTGGACTGGACTGTCTTCCTTTAGTTTGTAAAGTGCTGCACAAACTGTTGGCTGTATATAAATACTGTATAAGCAATAATACAATATACTCTGATCAACCAAAATATTTGACCACCACTATAACCTGCCAAGGTATGGACTCTACTAAACCTCTGAAGGTATGCTATTGTATGTGGCACCAAGCCGTCAAAAGCACATCCTTTTAGTCCTATAAGTTGCAAGGTGGGACCTCCATAGATTGGATTTTTTTTGCTATAATTTACAGAGCAATAACTTTGAAAAATACTCCCCTAGCATTTCTGGTTATGGCCATCTTGAGTAAGGGCAGATAATTCTAGTAGCATTTACTCCCTGGAATCCATCTGTCCTTAGCTCAGGCATGCAGGCAGGATAGTGTGCAATTTTAAAAAAAAAACCCACATCCCCTCTTGAAGACTCCTGGGATGTGCAACATTTTCCTAGGTCTGGGAACCAGGAAGTAACTGAAGAAATGTAAAAGAAAAAAATGTTTAACATGAGTAAATATAATATACTTTCCTATCTATTTACAAATGCTAGCAGCATAAGAATTAAAAATAGTCAATGTTGATTGAGAGAATGAAGTTCTGCTTTAAAGTGGTTGTAAAGGCATTCTCGGCATTAAGGTAAAACATCTTTTTAGTGCAGATTCCCCTTAGTGCCGCCCCTACCCCCAAACACTTACCACAGCTCGATCTCGGTCCAGAGCTGCGCTCTCCCTCCCTCTTCACTGGACCCAGCGAAAGCAGCGGGAGCCATTGGCCATTTTTCCCCCAAAAATTGTGTTTGAAAAACTGCTGTGCAAATACTGCATGACATAAAAAAAAAAAATTGCAAAACCCATCATTTTATTCTCTAGGGCCTCTGCTTTAAAAAAAATTATTTATATATATATATATAATATATATATATATATATATATATAAATAATGTTGGGGGGGGGGGGTTCTAACTAATTTCTAGAAAAAAAATATTGGTTTTTACATGTAAAGTTTCAGAAAAAGGCCTGGAGTTCACATGGTTAAAAAAGACTAGAGGGACTTTAAAGTGGAACTTTAAAACTTTAAGTTTAAAAAAAAGAATGGTGAACAGGCAGAGATTTTAATGCAGAGGAAACATGCTTTGTCTCTTCTGCATTAAAGCAGAGTTCCACTCACCCTGTCAAAAAAAAGTCAGCAGCTACAAAAACTGTATCTGACTTTTAAAAAAAACAGCCACTTACCTGTCCCTTGGTCCCGCGGTGCGTCCCCCACAGCCCGTTTCACTGGCTGTCCTGGATTCCAGGAGGCCGGCATCTTCAGTGTGGGCACTCAGCTGTGATAGTTTGCAGCTTGCGGTACCCACTGTGCACGCGCGAGTAGCGCTGCACTTCATGAATGGTCCTGTAGTCTTCTGGGACCTGTCACAGGTCCCAAAATACTACAGGGAGGGAGGATTCCTTCTGTTTCAGATCGCCTAGGCCATCGGACCGGAAAAGGGAGAGGATACCTGTCAAATTCGGGTACCCGCTCCCCCCCCCCCACAAAGGTGCCAAACCTTAATTGGCAGCGCGGAAGCAGTCCTCAAAGCAGAACTTCCCCTTTTGGGAGGAGCTCCGCTTTAAAGTTACTTACCTGCTTGTCCACCCCTGTACAATGAGCCGTGAACATGCAGCTCACTATAGAAATTCAGCAATGCTGAATCTGACTTAACTCCCGCGCATGCGCAGGAGTGATGTCAGCCCTGGCCGGCGATCGAGACCTGCCAGCCTCCCAAAGAAATCAGTGGCCAGGTGGGGAGCAGCAGGATGATGCATCACTGAGCAGAGGCGAGTATAGTTCTATGTTAACAGCAAATTGAGCTACACTATGTCTTCCATTGGATCAGACTACCAGGGCCAGCCTTAGCTCTCTACGTACATCAGTGAGTCTTGGCCGCCCATGATCCTGTCTCTGATTTGTCGGTTTTCCTCCCTTGGACCACATTTGGTCGGTCCTGACCACTGCACACAAGGAACATCCCACAAGAGCTGTAGATTTGGAGTTGCTCTGACCCAGTTGTCTAGACAAGGGGTCTCCAACGTTATAGGCAAAGGGCCAGTTTATTGTCCTTTAGACTTTAGGGGGGCTGGTCTGTGGCCAGTAGAAGTAGAAAATATTCCAACGTCATTGGATTTAATGGGGAGAATAGAGCCCCATCATTGCTTTAAGGGGAGGAATAGTGCACCATTGTTGGTATCAATGCAAGGAATAGTGCCCCATTGATGGTGTCAGTAGGGGGAATGGTGCCCTATCATTGGTGTAATAATGTCCCAAGGGCCAGATAAAGGCAAGCAAAGGGCCACATCCATCCCCCTGGGCCGCAGGAGACCACTGGTCTAGACATTACAATTTGGCTCGTCAAAGTCGCTCAGATCCTTTCGCTTGCCATGTTTTCATCAAAATGAACTTCAGAGACAACATGATCACTTGCCTACTATATCCAATAAACTTTCAGGTGCCATTGTAAGGAGATAATCTTATTCACTTTATCTGTCAGTGGTCATAATATTATGGCTGACCAGTGTATGGAATGAATAGGATTTAGACAGTGAAGGAGTATGCTGCCCTAGAGCACTGGACTCCCCCTGTCTATAGTGTAGAGCTGTGACAGTTTACTGATGTAGAGGAAAAAACACAGAGAGAAACACATGGAGGAAGCCATGTCAGGTGGTGTGCCAGTGAGCAATGTATACGGACGTGTATACAACGTGCAGTGTCACTGTGAATTGAGGGTATATGACAGGCCATAAGCCTTGTTGCCATGACAACATACAGCAGGCAGAAGTGACAGCCAACTGTGCAGCAAACTTTCAATGTGAGCAATGCAACAGGCAGAGCCGTGGACACCCCCCTGATCTCTCTCCACCACGTGCACTCCACACACGTACACACAGAGCTATGTCCAGCACTGGGCAGACATGACGCCAGTCTGCCTCTCCTCCCATCTCCCCATGGAGGATTGGAGACACACAGCATGGAACTTGTTACACCCACCCAGCACACAGGCCCCCTGCAGCTTGTTTGCGGCCACCTTTCCCTGCCACAAGTGCTGTACCTGCAGCCTATTCCTCACTTCAGCCTCTGTTTCCGCTCCCCCTTCTGCCATCATTCCAGCAGCTCTATGCTTCCCTCTCCGAGAGTCTATTAAAGGATTGTATGTCCAGGAGGAGGCGGGAGCCCGCCCACAGCGCCACCCGGCGGGCAGGCGGAGTTACAGCAAACCGTGCGACTGTTCCAGAAATCCCAGCTTGCCAAGACAGGTGCTCGGTGTGATCCATCACTCTCAGTTTCCTCTACAGCAGCAGTGAGCCGTCAGCTGTTGTGCAAAAAAGGGAATTTTCAGGATGCATTGGGGATTAGTTATGGAGACTGGGAAATGTACACCGTGACTAGGTCTCTTCTTTTATCTGTCTGCGTTGTGAAGATATATGGTGAGCTTGAGCGCCAAACCGTAGGGATTGGTCTAAAATACAGCTGAAAGTGGGCATCCTCTGTATGCATCTCTAGCCGAACTTCAACTTGCACTCCTTTTTGCGTCAAGGAGCTGCAGGCCAGGTTTAGTAAATATGTAAGGCCCTGTTCACGGAAAACCGCATTTCAGGCATATTTCCCACGCAAAACGCACTGCAGTTGTGATCTGCAGCGGGGGGGGGGGGGTAACTCCACTTTCATGAGAAAAAAATTGCAAAAACCCAAAAATATATAGCATATACAATTGCATCTCAAGCCATATTGTAATTGAATGGTTTTAAAAATCACCTTTATTTATTATATATTACAGGTACTTGTATAGTGCCGTCAATTTACACAACGCTTTACATATATATTGCAGGAAAGTTGGATTCCTATCGCCCGGGACATGTAGTTCTGGGCGCCGAGCATGTAGTTTTTTTGCTCAGCCCTGCTGCGGGCAAGCAGCGGGCTCACCTGTCAGGTGAAGCAAACGTCGGCAGCGCTACCACCGATTGCTTTCACACAGTGCCAGCCTCTCCGTGCCCCCGGTTGTGAGGTTTCCTGGGCACCACTTGCCCATCTGGCTCACCTTCGGCCAGAGGGGAGGAAGAAGAGGGGACAAGTCTGCTTCCCTCCCCTTCTTGTGCTGACCCGAAAGTGACAGTACAATGTCACTTCCGGGTCCCCGATGAGAGATTTCAATACAATCCCCGGGAAAGAATGTAATATGGTGCGATGTGCACTACATTACATTCAGTAGAGCAGAGGGGAGACATGCAGGGTCTGGACATGGACATGGATGTGTCAAAGAAAACCTGTCACCAAAAATCGCATAGGGGACTTTGTTCTATACTATACTATATTATACTATACTGGTGACCTATAAAGAGCTTTAAAAGTGTTAACCTATAGAAAATATAGGGTACTGAAGTTAGTCGCCATTTCACGAGCGCGCACACATGTAAGGTTTGACAAGTTGGATATCTATTTACTTGCTGTAACCTCGTTTTTTATATTTTACAAAAAAAAAGGGTAATTTATTGCTTTTTTGTACCCTAAAAATAACTAGTATTATTTACTAAAATTGTGTGGTAAAATCATGCAACATAAAAAATTGGAACTACCACTGTTTTATTTTCTAGGGTCTCTGCTTTCAGAAAATATATAATGTTTGGGGGTTTTATGTAATCTTCAGGCCTAAAATGATTTTTTAAACATGTGCAAAAAAAAAATGCAAAAATGGCTCTGTCAGCGAAAATGCAAAAACGACTCCGGCAGTGAAAGGGATAAAGTATAAGCCCCTCCCCCCCCCTTTACTGATAAGCAGCCAATCGGTGCTCACTACACTGCAAGGTCTTTCCTCTCCCTGCTAGTCCCCGGGTTCGGTGCTGGAGACAGGCAGGGAGGGGAAGAGGCGATGAACAGCACAATGGTAAAAATATTACACGTTTAAGTCGCAATAAAGCCCCTTTTGTTTTTAAAAGCCCCAGACATTCCTAATATCCCCTCCGATTTAAATACGGTTTTGGTTAAAAAAAAAATTTTTTATCAGGACAAGTAGATTAATGCAGGCCATAGATGGGGAGAAAAAAACGGCCGATTTTTCGTCCGAAAATAAAACCGGCCGATTATCTTATCGTTAGTGGACGATTTTGTCGGCCGTTTTTCGTGTATTTTGGACTTTCAGATTATCGGTGATGTTGGAAAATTTTCGAAAAACGCCCGACTTTATCCTCATTGATGGTCAAAAACGAACAATCGTTTTCCGAAAAAGGATCACAAAGGCCACAAAATGACATCATTTCCCGTTATAGGTTACTCATTAATCGGCCGATTTTCGTAATAATTGGTGGTCAGGTAAGTTTTTTAGACCGACCGATAGTTCGTTAATCGGCTGAAAATCTGCCGTTTTTCTCCCCATCTATGGCCTGCATTAGTCCCTGGACAAGTAGTTTTTTTTAAACATTTCCACACCCCTGTATTGTACATTCACATCAGTCCCTAACCGTCAAGGGGTGTACAATCTAAGGTTCCTAACTCACATTCATACATACACATACTAGGGACAATTTAGACAGGAGCCAATTCACCTACCAGCATGTCTTTGGACCTTTCTTTTTCAATCTGCAGCGCTGTAAAATGCAATGCAATATGGCTGCCTGCAGTGTACAGAACACCCCTTGAAAATGGCATGTCCTGCTTGTGTGATTGGCTCACTGATTTTTCCAGAAATCTGCACTAAAGCCGGCCATACATGGGTCGAAATTTCTTTCTAAAATCTTTTCTAAGAATTTTCGCTCAAATTTCGCACCATTAGTGGGCCATAGCAACGGCTGATTTTTGAGCGACCATCAAATTTGAGTGATCAGACATGTTGAACATTTTTTGAAAAACGAATGAATTTCTAATCAATGATGGGAAAATTGTGCGAGAAATGTAATTGAAAAAGAAATGAGCATGAGCTGTGACCTGAAAAGAAAATTCTTGGCCACGAAAATTCTTTTCTGTAGCAACATGACGTGAAATTAAAGGTTTGGTTGGTCAAATTTCATGATCAATGGTGATACCATCAGATTACAAAACTCACAGAATTTTTGAATTGCTAAAGAAAATTCATTCGGAATCAGGGGCAGACTGACCATTTGGAAACTAGGGCACTGCCCGAGGGCCCGGGGTCAGTAGGGGGCCCCATAAGATGCCCCTGGTACCTTTTTCATAGGCGTTTTTGAGTTTGGGCAAGGACACGGGCCCCATGATCCCCTATTGCCAGGGGCCCCATGAGTTGTCAGTCCGCCCCTGTTCGGAATTCAACGTATGGATGGCCTGCATAAGATACAAGGCAGATTTTTGTCATCCCCTGCAACAAAAATGTCATTTTTGGTGAGATACTCTCAAATGCAGACCATACATGGGTCGAATTCTGGAGGAAGTTTCTTTCTAAAATCATAACTAAGAATTTGAATTCACATTTCGCACCAGTAGTGGGCCGCAGCATTGGCAGATTTTTAAGCGGCCATCAAAATCTGACTAATTGGGCATGTTGGAAATTTTTTAAAAAATGAACAAATTTCTAATCAATGATGGGAGACTCGTGTGAGAAATATAAACGAAAAAGAAATGAGCATGAGCTGTGACCTGGAAAGAAAAGAAGATTCCCAGCCACAGAAATTATTTTGTGTAGCAACATGAAATTGAAGGCTTGGTTGGTCGAAATTTCTAAATCAGTGGTGGCGCATCGGATTACAAGACACATGAAATGTCTATTTTCTAAAGAAAATGTGTTCAGCATTCGACCCATGTATGGCCTGCAAAAGGGAAATCACGTCTAAAGGGATGCAGACCCTGCCATGTTCCTCATTAGAGTCCTGCAGGTGCAGCAGCTGATTGATAATTATGAAGTCACCCCCATACAGAATCCCCCTGTACATGGACAAAACAGCTATTTCTTCAGAATAACAAAAGCTAGGAACAAAGTTTGTTAAAATCCTTGCAGTGTACATAGATCACCCAGAAGAGAATGTTTGTTTGTTTTTTTTCTCAACAAAAGTGGAGTTACTCTTTAAATTGTTTGTAAACCCTCACATATACCCAGTGAAGTGACTGGCCTCAGGTGATACACAGAGATTAAACATATCCTCCTACATCAGTTCAAAGTGCTGAATTTATACAACTTGTCTGAGCTTTCAGAAAGCAGGGGGCAGCAATCTGAAGTTACTCTCTGCAGGGCTCAGTGAGAGCTGATTGGAAGGAAGGGACACCCCCCCTCCCCTCTTTACACAGCACACAGGAACAGAGCTGAAGCTGTCAATCACAGTCTGTATGATGGTGCTCCCTCCCTTTTCACTTTATCTCTTGGTGTTAATTAAACCTGCAAACACAAATGCTCCTGTGCTTGGGGATGGACTCGATGCAGGCTACAACCACATTAAGAATCTCCTGGAACATGCACACCTTGCTGCCCTCAACAGACCGGGGAATCCAAATATACTGAATGAGGAAAGAACAAACAGAGGGCGCACAGGCCTAGTGCATTACCATAAAAAATGTTTAATAAGAAATAAAGTAGGTGTTGTACTCACAAACGACAATAAAGTCAAGGCACATCATAAAAGGACAGCTGGGTCAAAAGAACAGCTGGGTCAGCACCGCGCTGAGTAACAGTCCGCAATAGGGAGTGTAGACATCCAATAGGCTGACGTGTTTCGAGGACTTGCCCCTTCCTCAGAGCCAGCTGACCAAATGTCTGCTCCCTCTTTTATATGCTCACTACTAGTTGAACCAAAGGTCACATGGGCTGTCCCCTATGCAGGTGGAGGAGTCACAGGGGCAATTGACATAGTATAAGTAAACAAAAGATCTATAAAAATATATATGTATAAATAAAATCATTGAAATTTAGTGACAATCATAAAATCATAAGAACCATAAGAAGTGTGCAAATAAAAAATAAATACGTACACAATTACACATATATATATTACAAAATCTGCATAGGGGAGTGTCCAGGATGGCCCATGTGACCTTTGGTTCAACTAGTAGTGAGCATATAAAAGAGGGAGCAAACATTTGGTCAGTTGGCTCTGAGGAAGGGGCAAGTCCTCGAAACGCGGCAGCCTATTGGATGTCTACACTCCCTATTGCGGACTGTTACTCAGCGCGGTGCTGACC